GGGGGCTGGCAGTGTCAGCCCTGCGGGACGGTCCCACAGATGCTTCCTGGCTTTCCCCCCACCTTCGGGGGCATTATGATAAAGCCACCAGAGCAGGGTCACCATCCCCCACTGGGACCATTCCTGGAAATTCCAAGGGATGTGTTTCTATTTCTGTTTTCCTCATCGGCGGTTGAGAGTGGAGGGCAGGGACATTGAGAATCCCAGAAGGGAGTCTGGAAGGAGCCCCGGGAGGCTGGCCCGTGCCTGGGCTCAGAGGCACGTGGAGAGTGCTGCCGGGGCGTGGGTGTAGACGTCGTTCTTGGCTTCGCCCCGGATGCCCCCCGCAGCTCTCTGCTGCATGGCTCACCCCAGGCCTTCTGAGGCAAGGTGTGGGATGGGGCGCACCGGAGGAGGCTGGGGACAGGTGGAATATGCTGGGTCCTTGTCTCGCTTTTAGAAGGACAGCTTCTAAGTGAAGTTGGAGGGGGGATAAAATGGTAAACGCAGACGGTGGGGAAAGGGGATGCTTGCCTTGCCGTGTCAGGCCTGAAACACGGTCTCCAGAAATCCTGGCGGCTTCTTGCCTTAGTTTTCAGTCTTTGCACAAACGCCACGGTCTCGGAGAGGCCTCCCTCAGCATCTTGCCTCGAGGAGCACGCCGTCTGTAACAGTTTGCGACCAGCTGGCACACCTTCAGGTGCTGGGACAGAGCCCGGCTTACCCCGGGAACCCAGCGAGGACTCCGCTGTGCTAGGAACGCTGTGGGAACGGTTGGACCTCCTCTTTCTCCTTGCATTATCGCTTCCTGGCGCTCTGTTTTATATCCGGTATTAGTTTATTGTCTGTCTCCGGAAGGAGAGTGCCAAGATTCAGGAGCCCGGGGGGCTGGGCTACTTGGACCAGAACCTGGCACAGTTCTGGTATACAGTTGATGCTTAATAAGAGTTTGCCAGATGCATGAAGGCGAGCGGCCTTCCACGACAAAGTGGCAGAAGTCTTCCCTTCTCAGTGAAAAAGAGGACCTGCGAGTTTCCAGCACCGCGAACGACATGGGGAGCTTTGGGGCCCTGCCCGTCCTAAGTTGTTCTTTTTTTTTTTTTTAATTTATTTTTTTTAACGTTTATTTATTTTTGAGACAGAGAGGGACAGAGCACGAACGGGGGAGGGTCAGAGAGAGGGAGACACAGAATCTGAAACAGGCTCCAGGCTCTGAGCTGTCAGCACAGAGCCCGACGCGGGACTCGAACTCACGGACCGCGAGATCATGACCTGAGCCGAAGTCGGCTGCTTAACCGACTGAGCCACCCAGGCTCCCCCGTCCTAAGTTGTTCTAAAGCGTTCCCCAGCCTCCGCCTGTTGACGCTCGGCTGGATCACTCTTTGTTGGGGGGCTGTCCTGGGCGGCACCCCCCTGGCTGCTGTCCGTTAGATGCCGGTACCACTCCTGTCCCCCACCCCACGCACACAGAGAAGAGCCCACTGCCAGTGTGCCCTGCCTGGGGGGCGAAATCACCGCGGTTGAAAACCACTGTTGTCGGCTACACCCAGCTCTGCCCAAGCTGCACCTTGCTAAATGGGCCAAGTAACCAGCCTCGAGCATCTGAACGCTGTGGCGTTTCTGCGCAACGAAGCGGCTCTCTTCATCTGCTTTCCCCAGGTGCGCGTCAATCACGTCGTAAAAAGAAGGAAGACCAAGGCAGGAGGGTCAGCCGACACAAGTTCGTAGCGACACGCGTCTTTTAGGGCTGCGGTGGTTCCTCGATGTCAGGGTGAGGTGTAGAATTGGAAATAATTAAAGCGTAGAAACAAACAAAGAGCTGTGACGATATGGCCCACGGCACAAGCACAGACACCAGCTGTCCCTCGGGGGTGCTGACAGGGGGTTTCAGCAGGGAGCGGGACTGGCCCTCTCGAAGTCCCTTCTGTCCCCATGATTCTGTCCATCTGTAGTGCCAGCCTTGACTGTGATATGCTGTGACAGGCTGCCTTGCTTTGTGCTTCTCCCAGTGACAGAGCCGGTGAGATCCTGTAGCCCCTAGAACTCCGTAAAGGGACCTGAGGACTCTCATGAGGGAAGCTCAGACACAGCCACGAGGCATCTTTGTTTCCCCTTTTAGAACAAATTTCAAAAAAAAAAAGGTGGGGGCGTCTGGGTGGCTCAGTCGGTTAAGCATCAAACTTAGGCTCAGGTCATGATCTCACGGTTTCTGAGTCCGAGCCCCTCATCGGGCTCTGTGCTGACAGCTCAGAGCCTGGAGCCTGCTTCAGATTCTGTGTTTCCCCTCTATCTCTGCCTCTCCCCTGCTCACGCTCTGTTTCTCCCTCTCTCTTTCTCTCTCACTCTCAAAAATAAACATTAAAAAAATAAAAAAAATTAAAAAGTCCAGGGGCATCTGGGTGGCTAGGTCTGTTAAACATCCAACTTCGGCTCAGGTCATGATCTCATGGCTCGTGAGTTCCAGCCCCGCATCAGACTATGTGCTGACAGCTTGGAGCCTGGAGCCTGCTTTAGATTCTGTGTCTCCCTCTTTCTCTGACCCTCCCCACTTATGCTCTGTGTGTCTCTCTCTCTCAAAAATAAACATTAATAAAATAAAATAAAGTAAAATAAAATAAAATAAAGTAAAATAAAATAAAACAAAACAAGGTTTAATGACTGTCGGCACCCTATTAACGTGTATCATAGAGGGTGTTGTAAATAAAATGTTTAGAATAATATCGATGTATTGGACAAGTGGGAAGACATGAGAGGGAGGGCTTGTGTTTTCATTTGCAACCATTAATTATAAAGAAATAATTGAATAAGCGATCTGAATTATTAGATTCTCTTTCTGATTCCTGATCCACAGAAAACAGGAAGGTGCATTTGTGTGTGTGTGTGTGTGTGTGTGTGTGTGTGTGT